CTTCACGAAAGCTCTTAACTGTGCACATTTGTCTAATTTAAACACATCATGCAATTCTAGATGAGGACTGTGAAACTCGACCACTAGCGGCCCACCTTATAAATGACTAACTTTCCTACTTAATGATTAGTAGTGTGCAATATAGTGCAATATCCTGTATATAGTATACATATTCAGAGTTGCCAACTCTCCCGATTTAGGTGGGAGACTCCCGATTTTCGACCGATCTCCCGCCAACCCGATTTACAATATATTTCTCCCGACTTTTTCTTAGTTTCAAAATTTCTCACGATTTTTATGGAATTTGGCTTAATACTTTGTTATATGAACAAGAAAAAGTGATTTTGGACGTCTGAAAGCAATTGAATTTTCTCTAGGATTATATCTAAAACAAATCCTTGCAAGAATTCAGATAACTTCTGTTTTGTGAGTGAGAGCATTATACGTATCCAGAAACATCGTTCTCCAGTTCTCCAATGGGCATCGAACTCCACTGCGTGTCATGCTGGCATATATTAGCCAATGAGGACAAGGCAAAGAATGTGTATTGTTAAGAAGGAAAGCTTTGCAGTAGCAGGAGTGGCTCCCTCCGAACGAAAAGGGACACAACTGCGCATGCGTGAAATATCTGTCGCCGAAAAGCGCCAAAGCTCGAAGCTGATGTCGAAGTTCAACAGGTTCGACGGTCACGTTTATCAAGAGTTTCTGTGTGACTCCATTTTTTTTCCAACATATTGACAGATATAAAATCAGACCACAAACTGCGATATGGATAATACAAGTTCAACTAGTAAAGCAAAAAAGCACGAAAATTCGAGTTTAAATTATCGCGAAAAGTCAAAGAACGATTCATCTTAACCCTTATTCCTCAATTTCCTGTACACGTAGCGGAGGTGGAAAATCTCGGCCAGGTACATCACAAAGGGGGAAATTCTCATCAACAGGTTCCGTCGCCAAATCCCTTGGCGAATAGTCCCTTTTCTTTGTAGCGGCATAGAAGACAAACTGGTTTACATTACGTCTATGGAGCCTTTCCTTCTTTACATGTCCAAGCTGTTATTTGGATGTTCTTTAGTTATTTCGTTCAATTTGTGCTGAGTTGTGTGAGTGCACGTGCCTTCGGAAAATAGTTTTAGAAATTATCATCTTTTGTTATGTCTGCGAGAATGAAATACTCGTGTACGTTTCAAAAATCGTACAGTTGACTTTCCTTCCATTATTTCCTCACGGAAATGTAATAAATTTGCGATGTGCACCACCTGTGGTTGCGATTTTTCGAATTCGTAATGTGGAAGGGCGGATGTTCTCAAACATGTGTGAACACAAAAACACAAGGATAACATGAGTTGTTTTTTAAAAAAACGAAAACAAAGGACCAAAAAGTTATTAATGCAGAATGTCTGTTCTCTGCCTTTTTACTGGAGCACAACCTGCCACTGAATGCATCGGATCACGCTGAAGCTTTATTTAGAAAAATGTTTCCCGATAGTGAAATTGCTAAGAAATACAAGTGCAAGAACCAAAACAGGTGCAATTGTTAAAGAAATGGGTTTGAAAAATAAATCTTAAGTTATTGATTGCACAAAACAGCTCCGTTCTGCCTCTCTACGGATGGAAGCAATAATACCGATTCAAAACTGTATCCAATTGTTGTTTCTTTCTTTAATCCAGATTCTTCAGAAATTGAGTGCAGTTTACTTTCTGTCCCCATTTTAGAAGAACATTTGACAGGCTTTAATATACCACAGTTAATTATTAAACTTTAAAAGAAAATGCAGGCCCTCTGGATAATTGTTTAGCACTTGGTGCCGATAATGCACCAGTATTGGTAGACTTGAAAATTGGTGTTGCAGGCATCTTAAGAAAGGAAAATTCAGATTTGCAGATTATGAGGTGCACCTGTCACCTCTTAAATTTAGCAGCTGAAAAAGTGTCAACTTCTTTGCCAATAAATGTGGATGAACACATTATTGATATTTTTTATTATCTTGAAAGGAGTTCTAAAAGGAAGGAAAAATTGAAACAGTTCCAACAGCTGCATAACAGCAGTTTACAATTAAAAAACTTGAATGAAGTTATAAAATCAGCTAAAATTGACACCCAGTGGAGTTTAATTGGAAAACTGAAAGGTGCTGATGGAATTTTAAAATATAGTCAACTGTCTAGAATTGTGTTGGCCATCTTGACAGTTCCCCATAGTAGTGCAGAGTGTGAGAGGATTTTCAGTGTTGTTGCGTAAACGAGGACTAAATTTAGATCTAATATTAGTGATGACACATTAGAAAAACTTTTCTTAGCGAAAGCAGGCCTACGTGGCAATTGCAGTGAACAAAATTAGGAAGTTTCTTTCTCTAATTTTCTAAACTAAAATTCCCTCCTTTCCCCCCCCTTAAACGATGCAAGTAATAAAAATGTTTTTTTATGCATAAGGTATTTTTGTGTTGCTTGCATTTAAGAATTAGTTACTATTTAAAGTTAATTCATTATTAAAAACCATATTTTTATCATTTAAAATGTCTTTTTAACATTGTGAAAAATCTCCTGATTTTTGAGTGTCATAGGTTGGCAAGTATGCATATTGTATATATTTTTCCGTTATATTTTTACTCTTACTGTATTTATTTATATTGTACTGTTACTTTAAGACATTGTGCTTTTTCTTCAATTAACTTAGGACGTTCCACTTGCTCTCCATGATCATGTGATGCCTCAGTCCCACCTTTTTTTCCACTTACTCCACTCCCTCTGGGATACCACGGGCAGATAGTACCATGTGATGCACCCACGTGGCAAATTTGATCAAGCCGGAAAAACTGCACACTGTGTGGTAGTCCGGCTATAAATTAATCAATCAGTCAGTCAGTCAGTCAAGGGTTACAGAAGTTGATTGTAAGTGCTGATAGAAGGTTTTTAAAACTTCTGTACAATTCGTTTTCAAAACATACATGTAGCCGGTCGCTCAAGGTTTACACCTCCCGCGGAAGATCGATATACAGTCAAAAGTTGTTAATTCAGACACCCATAATCCGGAATGATCTATAATCCAGACCTCAAAGCTAAAAACTTTCGGCGCATGCGCCGCGTTGGCACATGCGCACAGGCGTTTTACGCGTGCGCGTAGGACCTTGACTACTGCGCATATGCATGTGCGCAAGTGCAGAATACGTTTTCGCCTGCGCGTTTAATGTATAACGGACCTGTAAGCTAAAATTATCTAATTATCTATTTCAGTTAATGTTAATGATTGCGTTGTTCCTTAATCTTCGAATTGGATCTCGCTTATTATTTTTTGCAGACTGTAAGAGCAATTTTATAAAAGTAAACTTGAACTTTCGATTATGTCAAATAGAATTTCCGATGCTGGAACTTCCAAAGGATCTACAAAACGAAAGTATGTTTCGATATCCAACAAACAAAAAGTGGAATTGCTGCAAAAAATGGATAAAGACATGAAGAATGTGACAGAGAGGTTAGTGAAAACGAAAAAATTTCGATTGACAAGTTAGTCGGTATTCTCGGCACAGCAATTAACGGGACTTGAACAGCGGAACTTTGTAACTGAACAAGAAATTGTCTTTTTATAGAATTAAAGAGAAAGTATTATCACATAAAATGAAGCAACTTAAACAACTTACATTGAGAGAAATGTTTAATAAAGTAAACAAATAAATATTAAGCTTTTTTTTTTGTAAATTTTGATACTTTTTAGATCATAATTGTTCTTTATTTCATAAATTACGGTTTCATATTTTTAATTTTAGAATTTCTGCATGCCATCTTACGAGATTTAAACTGATGATCTATAATCAGGAAAAATCGATAATCCGGAATCGCCGAATTAACGACTTTTGACTGTATTGCTATTGTAGCCAAGCGAAATCGCAAAGCGACCTCCACATATGTGACATCTATGGTTACTGCGTCTATTGGTAAGGTGATATTTGCAGCTACTGTACGCCGAAGATTACATACGAGTGGACTGTACAGCCGGATACCTCGCGTTTGTGTTCCTCTATCCGTCCAATTAAGAAGGGCACGATTACAGTGGTACCGGGAACATGTCAATTGAAATGTGTCTGACTGGGACAATGTCATGTTTACTGATGAGTCAAGATTTGCTCTGGAGACAGATGACAAGTGTATAAGGATATGGCGTGAAGAATGAACACGCAATTAGACCCAAAACATCACCGAACATCCTGCATTCCTGCAGGCGGAAGCATTATGGTGTGGGCAGAGATTTCATTAGGATACCACACCGACCTGCACATCTTTAAACAGGGTTCTTTGACGGCTGTCCAGAATTGAGATGAAGTCCTAGAACCCATTGTGAGATTGTACGCTGCAGCAGTTGGCCCTACTTTTGTTTTAAAGGACAATAACGCATGTCCCCATAGAGCTGACATCGTCAATGATTGCCTGGAAAGTGAAGGGATTGCGCGTATGGCGTGGCCAGCATATTCCCTCGACCTTAATCCCATTGAAAATCTTTGTGATGCTCTCGGCCATGCTGTATCTTCATGTTTTCCACCTCCAGCCACTCTTATTGAGCTGGAAACTGCTCTACAAAAAGAATGGCAATTGCTCAATTCTGCGGTGGTTGACCACCTAATTGAAAGCATGGTCACAAGGTGTGTAAACTTTATATACAGATGAGAGAGGAATCACATACCCTGTTAATGTCCTTTTGTTTCATTTTATGGTATTCATTTTCCCTTTATACATAATTCTGCTCAAGTCTCCAGTATGTCATTATCCGATAACTTACAAAAATTTAATTTTATTTTCATTTCTGTATATAATTATTGATTTTGTTTTATGCATAAATATATATGCTACTTTTCTGCCAAATTCTATGTCAATCAAAGCATTTGTTGATTTTTTTGCATTTTACATCTTCGTGCTCAACTTTTGGAAGCGAGTGTATTTTGCACTGAAATTTAAAAAAAAATATTTTACATTCAAGAAACTTGCAGAAAATAATAAAACAGTATAATTACCTGGAGGACTAGCAAACAAAGGAAGTAAAAATTTGCCAATCTCTGAAACTGCTCAAAAAGATTTAAAGGAGCAAATGTCAGGAAGGTGTATTTCGATGTTTTAATATAGTTATTCTGTAAATGAAAAATTACAATAAACAAGCTATCAAAAATATAACATTTTCTAAAAGTCATTTATTTAATGAGATTATTAAATCAAGACCAACTCACCGCATAATTAAATAGGGCATTGTAGGTAGGATCATTTGCTCGAATTTTTCTGAATTCATAATCTGAAATAAAGAGAGAAATATTTAAAGAGAAAGAGGCAAACCTACATACCAAGAAATGATATGCAACGTGTATAACAGTGTGAAAAATAAAAAGGAGGAAAGAGGGTGACGAATTAAAAGGAATTTTCTTTTTATAAAGGCGTTTATATTTTAAAATACTGCTACTATAAATATTGTGCATTCGCAGTATTATAAATAGCTCTTAATATACATATATAATATATATATGTATAATTGGAGGGATCTGACTAAGAGCTCTGCACATGATAAGCACTATGTTTCAAACTCTGTTGTTCTTTCACCTTACTAAGAGAAAATGCAATTTTTATAGTACAATTCTTTAAAGCATAACTCACAAGCAGCATTCTTTTTACTTCCTTCGTACAAGGAAGTAATTCTTTTTTTACTTCCTTGTACAAGTAAAAAGGAAGTATTGTAATCGGCAAGTAAAAGGAAGTATTGTAAGTTTCAGGCAGCATATTTCAAGGAAAATATCCACTTTGATCGCTTTCGAACGCGATTTAACGATGTTTTTGCGTGATATCTGTACGTAAGGATAGAATAAAAGACGCTTTTCCTCCAAAAAAACTAAAAAACTGCTTTAAAATTAATTCTGAAGAGAATTTTTCGTGGCGTCTGTACGAACGTATGTACGTACGTGGGTACGAACGTACGTACGCATCTCGCATAACTCAAAAACGAGCAGCCTCAGAACTTTGAAATTTTGTATATAGGACTACTATAATATGTAGATGTGCACCTCGTATTTTGGTTTCAATCGGCAGCGCCAAACGTATATAAATATATCCACTCTATTACCCGGCTCAGTGATCTCAATTTCTTTACTCTTATATGTTAGTAAATTGTACATTTTTTTTCTTTAAAAATTATTGAATTATGTTGTTTTCATCTTCTGGTTAAGGATTTTATGCCTTTAGTAAATCTGTATGCAATATTTTTAGAATTATCAACAATTTAAAAGTTGTTTAAGTGCCGCTAAGCCTATTTTGATGGCGGCATTTGCTTATTTACATTTGGAATAGCTGAGTAGTGAATTTGTTGCCAATCTAGAGAAACGTAGCTTCGCAACAACAAAGATAAACGCCTTCATTTATTATTGCGATTAAAATCATACTTAATCCTTTCTGGAATTTTCTCGAGGAAATAAGTGTTTAAGATTTACTTAATTTTTAATAATTTAATTTTAATAATTAGTAATTTAATTTTTAATAATAAGTAATTTAATTTTTAATAATTAGTAATTTTTAGTAGAGATATTTTGAGTTTATATGTATTTTTGCATTGTCGCGAAGTGAGAACTGAATTAATTGAATGAGAAATACTTAATCGTCTGTGAAAAACTTTCTTTTTTGTTTTGTTTGCTTAATTTCTTTTATACATCGTTCTAGCTTTATTACAGTAATTGAATAGAACATGTGGCAACGATTAGATAATTGTTTAAATGATACAAATTTTGTGCATTCTGAGTTATAATATGAACGAAATATAATACTGTTAAGTGAACCTAGCGCCAGAGTGTCGCTATGGTAAACAAATAGAGTGAATTTTAAAGAATGCACTTATTCTATTGTGGTTTATGCGCTGTCGACAAAGTAGATATAATTAAATCCAATAAGTTTAAACAAAATGCAAGAAAAAATGCGTATAATTTAATATTCCGTACAAGGAAGTCATGTGGTGTACACATCAGATTTTTTTGTTTTTATAAGTGTGACAGGCTTAACAGTGGCTGAGATTAAATCCATGAAACATTAGGAGTTCGTACAAGGCTCCATTCATACTGGTTGAACAGGATGATAATATGAGACGTTTGCTACGTTAAAGATAAACGGCAGCCAGTTTTTCTTAGGGAGTCGCTCAGTAAAGAATTCTTTTTTTTTCATAGGCAGACAGTCCTAGTATGTTTCGCAGAGATTAAATAAAGGAATCGAACATTACATTTTTTCAAACTAGCTGCAATGTATTTAGATGAACTTTGTTTTCTGCTCCTTCTTACTTTCTCTCAAATACGAAACGCAGTTGAAATAGATAAAAACACGTTCGAAAACCATTTTCTAGTGGAATGCAGAGAGTTCCATGAAAACATTTCGAGAAATACGATTATCTGATTATTTAAGAACTTTTTATTCTGAACATACACGGAAATGCACTATATGGAGAGAGGGAGAAAGAGAGAGAGAAAGTTAGAAAACTGAAGTAAAATTTGATGATCGCATATGATTTTATTAGCGTAAGTGGAGTAAAACAATAAACGAAAAAAGAATGAAAAATTATCAGCTGGAAAACCTAAACAAGATAGAAGTTCACTCTGGCCCAAAAGAAGATAGAATTTAGGTTGGAAGAGTGACTTCGAAATTTCGAGCAGAAAATAGTTCACCATCTTCGGTGGACAGCATATTTAAAACCCATCGGTGTTTGAAAAGGCGATGAAAATAGAGCTGGCCCTATTTCCTGATAAGATTTTGGAAAATTACATTCTTAGTCACGAAGAACAGAACTGTAATAATTAGAACTACGGAACGAGAAGGAAATTTATCATCGCTTTTTAATTACTTTACTTACAGCAGAATAATCAAGGAGATTTAAATCATTAATTTAATACTTGACTATGCAACCAAACAGCCAATGGCTATTTTCAAAGTATTAGGCCTTTGGATGTTATTCGAAATGCGACACTCGTTTCCACAGCTTCTTTTACATCAGTCTATAGACTCATTAGGTTTTTTTGATGCAGGGTACATGAAAAATGATCAATGCCCTTGCCGGGACTCGAACCTGGACCTTTCGAATACGCGCCGAGTGTGCTAGTGTTACACCAGGAGGTATGCTGGAAGGAAGGAGATGTATTTTTAATTTAAGTTTCAATGAGCTTTAAGATTTTACTTTCTTCGAATAACTACAATATTTAAAAACAGTTGCTAAATTTATAATATTACCAAATATGTTCTAAAACATTTCAATTAAGTTTAAAGAAATGTTTAACAAGTAACATAATAACAAAAGATTAAGTTAACTCTGTACGACAAAGTACACCATGAGGCTTACACTATCAGTTACAGCACTAAAAAAAATAAATAAATAAAAAGTACAACAGTACAGTGTAGAAAAGAAAGGAGTGGATAAATAATAAATAAATAGAAATTTAAAAAACTCGAAAGCCCAAACTGAGAATAAAATTCTAAAAAGCAGAATTTGTAAAACATTTCTAGAATTTTTAAACACTTTTATTCATAGATACGTAGAAAACTTATGGCTGTTTACAGCACCGTAAACAGTTTCACCATTTCCGGCGCAGTGTGTTCCATGTGAACACACCAAAAATATTCCCTCTTAAGACACTGAAAATAATCGCTAAATGTCCCGAAAACTACACTAATGGTTACTTTTAATCTCTTTTATGAATAATAGATGGATGGCAGCACCACACAAGAAAATGAATAAAGTTGAGATATATTCTGTTTTTAAAGACATTGATATTTCAAAGAAATGTTTCAGATTTTTTTTTAAATATAAAGAATATCAATGAAAAAAAATCTTTATAATTTTGTTGTTCGAATGCTAATCTGCCTAGTCTGTATTACTTTTAATTTTTATTTTTGAAATATTGCGTATAGTGAAACCTTCAGCGTATGGTGTGTTCGGACTGAACACACTGTACTGGTAGCGCCCGTCACGCGGGGTGAATCACAGAATCTGATCTTGTGCTTCAAACACGAGGGATGCTGAGAGTCCACATTTATTTACATTTGTTTTTATTCTCTTCTGTTTTTGGTTTTGAAGACCCCGGTGCTTTGTTTTCACTTAGCTATTTGATTTTCAGCAAGAGCAGACCCTTTTTTTGCCTTGCTCTCATTGTGCGTAGTTTGCTTAGTTCTCATTTCTGTAGATTTTTATTTGTATATATATTTAATAATTTTTTTCTGGTCAATAATTAATTGTAAATATTATAGTATTTTTAATTTTTTATATAAATTTTCAAATTGTGTAAATGGCTCGGAGAGGCCTCAACGTTGAATGACAACATTTTCATGAACGAATTTTGTTAGTTTTATAAGGAATTTATTAGTACAAGAGTGTAACCAGTTGTGGGTTAAAATCTCGTATAATTTTTTAATTTGCCTCCTCTTCTCATCACCAGCACATAATTATTGGCAACCTGAATATCATACAAAACGATCAACTAAAAACACTAATGAGTTATGGTGCAAAATTTAGACCACTCAGACACATCAATAAAAATTACTGTAACAAGGTTAGGTTAGGTTACTTAATTACGGCAAAGCCTCGAGGGCTATCTGCCTAAGGGGAGGGATGCCTTCGTGGAGGACTTTCTAAGGGAAACTGGCTCGTATACACGTTACACATGGGGAAAACCACGAAAACACCCATGCAGCCAGCCCGTTCGTAGGATTCGAACCTCGGAACGAACTACCAGTGTTCAGCGACTTTACCGCTCGGCCGCTGGTGGGCCCTTACTGTAACAAGACTTTCGAAAACAGCATCAACGAATTTATAGTTAAAGCAAGCTATCAACTGAATTTACCTATAGATACCTTTTTTCAATGGAAAGATGAAATACTTCAACGCATATCCACAGAAATCAATCACCTCAAGTTTAAAATTACATTGAATTGGTCACAACTTCTATCAGATATTAAAAATTAAAAAAACTTTTTACTATTACAAAAATAGGTAAAGCAAATAATAACTTTAGCATTATATGAAAACAATTCTACGCAGAAATTATTCATAAAGAACTTTTCAACGACACTACTTATTAATTAGCAAACCTTAGAGAAACATCTATAATAAACAGAATTAAAACTTTTCATAAAAAACTAAAAATCACTTTCAATCCAAGCTACAACAGATTTACTAACCTCTATGCACTTCCCAAATTCCATAAAACACCATTAAAATTCATATTTATAGCAAATGGAACTAATAACTACAAGAAAAATGTAGACTATTATTTTTAAATTCAACTTTAAAAAAATGTAAATTTATTTTCAACGACTGTAACATTAATCATAACTATTGCTGGATCACCCATAATAACACTCCTGTCATTAATGCCATTCAGACAATTGACATACAAAACATTAA